AAATGAAATCAACTATTTTGTAAAGCAGAATATTCTTGTGTGCATCTACACTGAATTGTGCGATAGTGAAATGTGCGAAACTGAAATGTGCGAAACTGAACTGTGCGAAACTGAACTGTGCGACACTGAACTGTGCGACACTGAACTGTGCGACACTGAACTGTGCGACACTGAACTGTGCGACACTGAACTGTGCGTAAAAGAATTGTCCAATTGAACAAACGCTGATTTAGAAAGATTTATTATTTATAAATTAGCAAAATTCCCAAACAGGGCTCTACATGCATACGCGTGTGTCTGTGTGTTTTAAATTATATTTCGATAATCTGTGTCCAAAAGCAACGGTGTCCAATTGTACGGTGCGCAAAAGAACTGTGTCGAAATGAACAGTGCGCAAAAGAACTGTGCGCAACATTATGTGTCCAATAGCACTGTGTGCAATTGCATCGTGTCCAATTGTACTGTGCGCAATTGAGCCTCTCTCTATTTGCAAGACCGTGACGCGGGCGCAGGTACCCGCGGTATCGCCAAATTTTATCGCAGCGTTCTCTCGATAGGGCGGTCGCAGCGGCTCCCCCGCTGACGCCCCTCCGGTAGAGTGCCACGGGCCCTGGGCTCCTTTCTCCCGGCTTGTTGCTCCGCGCGCTCCGTTCTCGATCCGCAAACGCCTTTCCACCGTGCTCGCCGCGGAATTTGTTCGTTAGCCGGGCCTCTCATCTCTCCTCTGCCCTCGCGTCCTTCAGTACTCATGCGCTCGTGTTCATAATAACAAAAAAAAACAAAATAATAAGCTATAACGTCCGAACGACAGAAACGATAACGGTCGCCTCTCTGGAGACTGCGGCACGGTTTCCCCTATCCCTCGGCCTGTTGCGTTGAGGGAGGAACCCCGTGGACGCGCACGCGGGACGGCAACGTCACAGTGCACACCAAAGGTGCTCCCCAATGAGAAGACAATATTTTTAAATGTTGATTTTAAATTTATTTTACTTAAATAGCATTTTGATGTTTTTTATATGATAACAACATTATAACAGATTACAACCCACATAGAAACAAAACTTCTAATGGACGTCCATTATACGTTTGTCATGGAGATTAACACCTTCCAGTAGACGTCTATTAGATGACCAATGAAGGACAATGAGAAATCCATAGTTCCGCATTGCGGACATCCATTGGACCTCCATTATACATCTTTAAAAATGCCCATTAGACGTTCCGTGGATCATTGACATACGGTGCGCGGAGTCTCGATGGACACCCCAGCTAACAAGGTGTCGTCAAAATGACGTACATTTAATAAAGAAAAAAATTAATGAACAAATTCCGGACTTTAAAGATTATAGAAATTAACATCATTTTCGCGGCTGGGTGTGAAGAACGGTAAGATCGCGGTCACCCATCCAAATTTTAACCACACTCAACGTTGCTTAACCTCGATGATCGGATGGGATAGCGGTGATCCTTTGGCTCTGACAATTCTTTCTTGCAATTTGTGCAACATAATTATACACATACTTGTACATAACATGTTTTTATTAAATGTTAAAAATTATTTTTGAACGTAACCCACACAGCATACCTACTTTATTTGAGATATACTGAGAAATTGTAAATTGTCCCAGACTTTTAAGTATATTTTTCTTGAAAGATTTGTAATCGCAGTCTTTGACACTTCGATTACAAATGTTGTATAAATACTATGTTCAAAATCAATCTGAATGATAATTATTTAATCAGATTATAGCAAGACAACGTCGAAATGACGTGACAAATACGTAATTTTGATGACGATAACGTCATGTGACTTAAATGGTACGTAATTTTGACGTTATTTTAAATACTAAAATAGTACGTTATTACTGTTACGTCAAAAAGACGTACCATTAACGTCGAAGATATAAATGTAATTTGTATGCTCAAATAATGACATAGCATTGTTCGCGCGTTGCATATTTTGATGAGATTTTCAATTTCTTAATTATTTTATATCTTTGACATTATATGTCATTATATGTGTATAATTGATATCTTCGACATTAATGGTACGTCTTTTTAACAGTAATGACTATTTTATTTTAGTATTAGTACTATTTTAGTATTTAAAATGACGTCAAAATTACGTACCATTTACTATAAGTCACATGACGTTATCGTCATCAAAATCACGTATTTTTCACGTCATTTCGACGTTGTCTTGTTAACTGGGGCTTAACAGACGTTTCGTGGCCAATAATAGACGGTTCGCGGAACCTCGTTGGTCTATATAATTGTATATAAATGTATAATAAAATAAAAAAGCTATTAAGAATACTCAATAAAAATCATTGATGAAAATAAAAAAGGTTTATATAATTGTTCGTGGCTTTATTATTATAATATATACCATCCATCCTCTATGAATCCTCCATTATTGATCCCAATAACGTCTATTAATCGTCCATCAATGCTCCGCGAACCGTCCGTGAACGATCCACGAAACGTCTTTTAAGTATCCAACGAGGTTCCGCGAACCGTCTATTATTAGCCACGAAACGTCTGTTAATTATAATTATAATTAAACTGTATAATGTGTGGTAATGTTTAAATGCACTTTCAAATTTACCTGATAAATTTTAATTAAAAATGAAACTTTAATATTAAACTAATGTAGGGATGGTATTTTAGAACTCCCCAGTGTAAAAGTGGTTGTGCGATTTTAATATTTAGTTGGAAAATAATACAGCAGTACAGAATAGCCTTTTTCGTCTCCCCTCTCTCGTCGCTTGCTCGCTTCTCTTCCACCTTTCAATCCTGCCAACCTTAGTTCCTTTCTCTCACTTTTAAGGTGCATTTTCATGCTGACGCTTGACGCTCACTTCGAGCGTCAAACTAGTTACTTTATTGGGAACTTTTTTGAATTGTAGCGTTAAGTGGACGCTTGACGCTGACTTCAAGTTGACGCTCGATTTGAGTGCCAAGACGCTCTATTAGCGTGTAATTGAAATAAGCAAACTCTCCTTCGCCAATATTTTTAGATCGCACAATTGACGCTGTTAACGCCAAGGAAAGCTAAAATCTTTCCACTTGATTCTTTTTCCACTTGACGCTACAATTCAAAAAAGTCCCCAGAGTCACTAGTTTGACGCTTGAAGTGAGCGTCAAACTAGTTACTTTGGGGACTTTTTGATTTGCAGCGTTAAGTGGACACTTGACACTGACTTCGAGTTGACGCTCGATTTGAATGCCAAGACGCTCCATTTAGCGTGTAATTGAAATATATGGTGTTTACGAGTTAATCAGATTTGCAATCGAATTAATCGCAGTCTAGAAAACCGACTTGGAGAAAAGTTCCCTAGAATAATCGGATTTATAAACATGTCTATGGAACAATCAGATTATATCAGATTAATACGGGATTGTAGGAAAACGCGCAAAAATTTCTCGTCGCAGAATTTTGAGAAGAAATATAAAAAAGTAGGTATATGTATATTGAGCGATAGATGTATTAAATATTTTACTAATATATTTTAGAGGAACTATAGACTATTACGGTCTATTTGTTTAAATTCTTTAAAATATATCAGAAAAACATTAATACATCTATTGCTCAATATATGTGAAGAAGAATTAAATTTAATTATTATGAAAACAACAAAAAGTTCATATATACCTATTTTTTCATTTCTTCTCAAAATTCTGCGACGAGAAAAATTTTCGCGTTTTCCTACAATTCCGTATTAATCCGATATAATCCGATTGTTCCATAGACATGTTTATAAATCCGATTAGTCTAGGGAACTTTTCTCCAAGTCGGTTTTCTAAACTGCGATTAATCCGATTGCAAATCTGATTACTATACGTAAACACCCACTGTTCTGCATATCTTTTGAAGTAAAAAAATGGTTCGTTCGCACAGTGTCGAAAAGTGGGTTGCTGAGTGTAAACAAATTATGGAAAAGGAAAAAAGAAAGAGAACGCTCCGGAAAAGACTTTTAATGGTTTTTGTTTGTGATCAAATAATAAAATTGAATGCAAAAAGGAATTATAGACAGAAAAGGTTTTGGGTTCATCCACTATTTCAGTTGCGCCGTTATCACGGGTTTTATGAAGCCATATTTCCGACACTTTCCTTATTTGGTGACAAATTCCACGATTATTTACGAATTACCCCGACTCAATTTGAGGAGCTATTGCTTTTGATTGGCCCTATCATTGCAAAGCAGAATGCAATAAGAGAATCAATACCTACTGCAGCAAGATTGGCGCTTACAATGAGGTTTGTTTTTATAAAGTACAATTGAGCCAAAAAATTAAAAAATATGAAATATAAATTCTTTGTGTATGCAGGTATTTAGCCACTGGTGACTGTATTACTTCCATGTCCTATCAATACCTTGTTGGTATGACTACAGCATGTAATATCATTGAAGAAACATGCAGAGCAATTTGGAGTTGTCTGAACGAGGAAGTACTTCCATACCCTTTAAATACAACCGATTGGTTAAATATTGCTGGAGAATTTGAATGTCAATGGAATTTCAATCATTGCATAGGTGCAATTGACGGAAAGCATATCAATATCCAGGTTTGTGTAACATGAATGGGTGTGAATCACTTGAGTTACTGCATTAAGTTGTTGAATGATGACTGTTTGTTATAGTGTCCTGATAATGCTGGCTCTGAATACTTTAACTATAAAAATAGTCATAGTATTGTATTGCTAGGTATCTGTGATGCCAATTACGCGTTTACATTCGTTGACATAGGCGCCTATGGTCGACGTAGCGACGGTGGCATATTTAAAGACTCTCTAATGGGTCAAAAATTCAACGAAAAAACAATGAATGGGCCTGCACCGGAGCGGCTAACTGTTGATGGAATGCCTTTGCCATATGTTCTTGTAGGTGATGAAGCATTTCAATTAACAGATTATTTGCTCCGACCATTTCCTGGAAAAGAAGGTCTTGATGAAGCTAAAAGCATTTACAATTATCGTCTTAGCCGTGCTCGAAGAGTAGTAGAAAATTCCTTCGGAATATTAGTTACGCAGTGGAGACTTCTGAAGAAACCCATTGAAGCTACCGTAGAAAACACAATACAAATGGTCCAAGCCATCATATGTCTCCACAATTGGCTTTGGAAGCGTGATCGTGAAGAATACATTCCGCCAAATATGGTCGACCAAGACAGTTGCAATGGTTTCATTCCTGGACTATGGAGACAAGAAATAAATAATTCAGCCTTCCAAGACGTTAGAGTGCATGGTAATCATAACAGTAGTCGTGCTGCCATTGGCATTAGAGAAGAATTTTGTGAATTTTTCAATGTAGAAAGTGCTGTTCATTGGCAGTATAATCGCGACGAATAATTAATACGCTAACAATTATTGTGTTGTGCTATGGATTTTAATATTTATTATAAGACAATAGGTCAATGAAGGACGAGACAAATCAACACTGTTACTGCATTTTTCAAAAATACGTAGAATCACTTTTGTATTTTTTAAATTAAGAACTGGCATTTTAAAAAGTAGTGGAAAACCCTTGATTAGAGAATTAAACAATGCTAGAGATGACAACAATTGCCATAACTAAAATTTTTTTTATGGATAATAATATTTTCTTTGACAATTCGAGTGAATAAGGACGAGGTAAAAATTAATTTCAAAGAATATACCGAGAATTAACGTCAATACTAGGGATTTTAAAAATAAAATACAATGAACTTGAATAATAATCTTTTATATTTATTTCATTCGCCCTTTCTCTTGCTCTTAATCTAAATTTATACACTCTAAAGATTAATTTTTAAAAATGTTGCAAAAAATTAGAAGAATCAGAAATTTTCTTAGCTATATTATATACGGAACAAATATCCTTCCAGCAAGAATTTGAAATAATCGAATTAAAACTACAATTTTTCCACATTTTTAATTCGTGGTTGAAAAATTTCATTTTTTTAAAGGTTCGTCTCTTTTTGCTCGCAATTGATTTCCTTGCAAATTAATTTTTTGTCAAAATATAATACATTTCTTTACTTGACGAAATCATTTTTCCTCGAATAAGTAGTTTTTGTTTTCTTAAAAAAAGTAAATCTTCGTGAAAACAGATTTCCGCAAGCAAAGAAATGATGTGTCACAAATATATATTTTTTTAATAAAACGTGTTTTTTAATCCGTATTTTCTGCCCCAATATTTCCTTTCTCCTACACGAAAAAAATCCATAGTAAAATTAGTGAACATTCTGATAAACTACAGTCCTTTTTGTTTAATTTTATGATTTTTTTTCTCGGTATAAACACGTTTTTTGGTCTCAAGAAATGAGTTTTCCAAAGAAACACATTTTTCTGTCGAAAATGCATTTTTCACAAACACTCTTTGATTTGGTTATAAGCAAATTGTACGACGTTCATCAGTACTTCCATTCGGTCATTATATTCTAGACGCCGTAATTGTAGCCCTACTGCATGCAACATTGATTCGACCTCATCTACTTCCGGAACAGAAGGTAAGACGACGGGTGATTCGTTATTGCACAACACATCTGCAATCCTATTTATAGCCTTTGCCGCTTCCTCAGAATCTTTATTGGAATTCTTACGGGCCCTTTTAGGGATCTGTTTTTCTGAAACAATTATTTTTTTAGTTACTTCGAAATGATGTATACTGTTAAAATACGCAAGATTATCTAAAAAGAGCCTTAATTTCAAACAAACAAAAAGGGGAAAAATTCAGATTAAAAAAGGCTTCTTTTGGCTTCCTCTAAATAAAAACATACTATAATAAATACATACATACATACTATGAATAACATATACCTGTAATCAAAGTGCTATTCGTCAGTATATCATCAGTATCTGCGTCGATATCGCTTGGTGGTTCAAGAATATTGGCATCTTCATCCGACATGTGAGTAATGGAAGTAGTCCGACTAACGTTTGTTGCAGTTCAGCAAACAGAAGACCAATGATAACGATGAACAAAATATCGCAATTTGTTTGCTTTTTACTTGCACGTGCCGCGCGTGAATCATTGAATAGAACCACAGCGCCAGACTGCCGAACTTCAAATGTCACAAGTAATACATTCTTTAAAAAAAAGTCTTACGAGCGTATTAAACAAGTATCTCGCAAAAATTCCATTATGTCATAGTATTTCCATTTCTCTTTCTGTGGAGTTCTTGCAGCACCACTGCGATGTTGCTCACTTTGGATGATTTTGCGGTGGGTGTCTCGCAAGCTCTTAAATTTCATTTTTGCATCTACTGCATTCAGTTTGCCTACACACAAATCAAACACAATTAAATCTGAAGTTGAAAGGCATCTGTAAAGATTTAATGTAAAGAAAGGTTTTAGATGAATCCTTTTTACTTACCATCTAGCTCCTCGGACACTTCATTCCATAGTCGTCCTACAGTCTCTCGACTTCTTTCTTCCAACGGGATTGTAAAATTCCACAGAGGAACTCTGGCTTCGACGGCGTGGATCAGAGTCTCCACTTCTAGGTCCGTCAATTTTTTATCTATTGCTTTTTTGCAGTACATGTTTTCCTCTTTTTTGAAGATTGTCTTAATCGTGACGTTTCTGTTATCAGACAAGAAGTCTGCAATTATTATTTTATTTCTAAAAATTATGTGAGGAATATATCATGGACTCCACGGAATGAGAAACATTATCCACGGCTCGAATGGACAAGAAGACGAGCGACTTTTAGGGTAGGGCGACAGCTCATTCCAAAAGGTGAGGGATGCCATAGAATTGAAGGGCAAGGAATCCCACCTATAGACTAACAATAAGTAGATAAGATAGGTATAGGAAACAGTTTCAGGACAAGGGTGCAAGAGATGAAGAATGCAAGAGAGTCCACGCTCATGGTAGACTGGAACTTACGTATATTTGGATCTAGATTTTCGAGATTTTCTGCGACAATCTGTTTCATTCCGTCTTTGCCAATAATATTAGTAACTTCATCAACTGAAATGTAAAATTGTAATATGTTTAAGGAGTTTCTGCAGCTTCCCAGGTAGCAAGATGTCGTCATTATAACGTCGATTTAAGGTCACTTCTCGTCATTTGACGTCAAGAGACTAAATAATGACGTTAAATAAACGTGATATTTGTGACGATATATTGTCGGTATAAAAATGTCGTCATTTTATTGTCATGTTTAAGTCATATTTAATGATAAATATTACAACCTTTATAAATTAAATACCCAGATAGCACATGGACGTCCACAGGATGTCCGATGGACGGCCGCATCTGAACATTCGGACGTCCAAAG